AAAACGGATCTGAGATTTGTTAAAAACATATTCTTTGAGCGTGAGAATATGCATGTGTTTTTGCTTAAACAAAGATTCGAACAAGAACTTAAAAGATAAGAGTCCCTTTTATCTTCCTGTCCCAAACCCTGCTCTTTTCCCTTGGTGGTGACCGATGTCAACAGCTGGGTGTGTATTCTTGCAGACCTTTTTCTGTTCAGCATGTGCAGAAAGTATTTCGTTGATGCCTAATCACTCACTGCGCTGAATGGCACTGAATCTGCTCTGTACCCCCAAAGGGACAAGTTCAGAAAACAAGTTGAAGATGACTGTGATCGAACTTCGAAGGAGAATTTGCTTCTCGGATTTACCTCAACTAAGCTTTGGGTTAATCTCTCTGTTTTAGCTAATTAAATATACATATGAAATGTATGTTTTAACGAGATAAGTGAGATTATACTACATGGATTGTTCGGTCACTTGCTTTACAATGTGACATAAGGACCCTATTCTCGGAGTTGCTGAGTGAGAAAGTTGTAGTTATTTAACCACGTCTCTACTGGACATTGAAGTTGTTGCTGCTTTTGTACTATTGTCTACAGTGCTATGTGACCTTCCTAGTACATGCAGTGTGTCTTTGAGTATGTTTGCTGAGTGAATATTTTGAACATCCAGAAGCAGAAATGCTATGTTAATTTTGATAGATTTGGGGGGCACCTGGGTGGCTCAGTTGGTTGAGCGTCCGACTCTTGAACTCAGCTCAGGTCCTTTTTTTTTTTTTTTTTAGTTTACTTATTTATTTTGAGAACTCAGCTCAGGCCTTGATCTTAGGGTTGTTGAATTCAAGCCCTGCGTTGAGCATGGAGCCTACTTAAAACAACAACAGTGACAAACAAAAAACCAACAAAAAACTGCCTTTTAAGTAGCTGCATCCATTTGTTGAGAGTATATGATAGTAACAGATTCCTTACACTCGTGCCAAGAGCAGGTATGTCGTTGAAAAAGACGTCAGCCCAGAGCCCGCTTTGGATCCTGTGTCTCCCTCTCTCTCTGCCCTGACCCTGCTTGTGTTCTCTCTCACTCGCTCTCTCTCTCTCTAAAATAAAACATTAAGATGAAATAGCCAATGTCTAAAAAAATTTGCACTTTTGATAGTTAAAGAAATACTTCATTTAAATTTGTATTTGAATACTAATGAGGCTTAGTGTTTTTCAAGTTTATTAATAATTTATGCATAGTTTATGTATTATACATAATATGTAAGTTATATAATACATAAATACAAATATGAATATATATGTATAATTTTTCCCCTATGAAATAGTTGCATTTAATCTGAAAAGTATGTGTTAGTTGGCAAAGAAGCCCAGGGAAGGAGCACCTGGCTTGCTCAGTTCGTAGACCATGTGACTCTTGATCTTGGGCTTGTAAGTTTGAGCCCCATGCTAGGGAGTAGAGGTTACTTAAAAACAAAAAAAATCTTAGGAAAAAAAAAAAAAAGCCCAGCAAAGAAATAGTCCTTTGTCATGGCCAACCCATCAGGTCACTAGCTCTGAAGAGAGATCTTTAATGACCTAAATGGAAATGTAACTGTATGTAACAGAAAACTAGACAGAGAAACAGAATTCATTTAACTATGAAATTGGACATGACCCATTGATTATTAAGATTGATGACTAAGAAGTTACTATTTAGTCAGAAAGACTTTTTGGTACCAGCCACATCATTCACATAACCAAAAACAGTGATATCTAATTTCCCCAGGAGGCAAAACTACTGTAAAGAAAAACAAAATCACCCAAACATCTGGTGTTCTAAATTTAGCATCTCTGAATTATAGAGGAACCACCTATTCAGCTTAATTTGGGGCTCGTAACTGTAGTCTTCTAAACTGCTGTGTTATTGGAAATATTGGAAATATTCTTTATCTGTCCTGTCCAATAAAGCAACTACTAGGCACATGAAGCTTTTAAATTTTAGTTAAAATTAAATAAGATAAAAAATTCAGTTCCCGTGTTACACAGACACAGCACAAGTGCCCGGTGACTATACATAGCTAGTGGCTACCTTATTGGACAATGCAGAGTTAATTTCAACATCACTGCAAAAGTTCTATTGGATGCAGCCAACTTAGAAGGAGGAGCACAAAAGGATCTTAGCTGATGGCTGACTCAGTGCATGGAACTGAACCTCTCTACACCTGCAAAGGGGGGCACATTCAGAGAATAAGCACGATTTGCTTCTCAGATTTATCTAAACAGGTTTGTGTTAATCTCTGTTTTAGCAAATTAAGAAAGAGTTGTTTGAAATGTTTTTATTTTTTGCTTTTGGGTTCTATGGGATTGAATCTATGTAGACTAGTATTCATGTCATTTGTTATGAAAGCTTCAGAACCTAAGATTTGTAGCTGAATAATTTACTGCTCCTTCTTTCACGAAATATTATGCTCTTGTCCCTTAAGGAGAAGAAAAACATTTTTTTGTGTGTGTGATTATAAAAGTGCTCATGGTAAAACAAACTAAAATACATATTACGAAAAATTAAGTTAATTGTAATCACACCATCCAGAGATAATCATAGTTAATATCTCGATGAATATCCTTCTGGGCTTTTTTGGACGCATCTCTACCTATAAAAAATATATAATTATGGGGTCATACTGTTCTATTTTATAAACTGAAACAATTTATCAAATGTCTTTTTATATTAGTATATATTTATCATTTTTATTGGTTGCATAGTACCATACCATGGATGTACTGTTATTTATTAACTGCAATGCTGTCTTTCTTGTATTGATAGTTATTTTGGACATTTTCAATGTGTGAGTATTATAAACAACACAAATAATACCAATTTCTTACACTTGAAAGTGTTTTAGATTGTTGGATCAAAGAATATACTATTATTAACATAATAAAGTTAAATAGAGATTTTCTCTATCTCAGGAATACAACTAAATTTTAGAACATTGATGGTTTTGAATCTTTTCAACTGTATGAAGCTTTTAGAAAAGGAACTAAATAAAGACTTTTGAACTAATTGTTTAAAAAGCCCAACTACCACTATTTGACATACCTAATTTAAATAAACTTAAGGGAAAACAGATGATTTCTTAATGTTTCAGTGCAAAGAGGAAAAATAACAGTTTAGTAGAATAGGAACTGATTTTAGAGCTACACTGATTTTTTTTTTTTTTAATGTTTATTTCTGAGAAAGAGAGACAGAGACAGAGCATGAGAAGGGGAGGGGCAGAGAGAGAGGGAGACGCAGAATGGGAAGCAGGCTCCAGGCTCTGAGCTGTCAGCACAGAGCCTGACGTGGGACTCTAACCCACAAACTGTGAGATCATGACCTGAGCCGAAGTCGGATGCTTAACTGACTGAGCCACCCAGGCACCCCTACACTGATTGAGTTTTAATGCCAGTTTCAGCTGTGTGACCTTGGGTAATTTAAGGTGTGCCTCAGTTTCCTCGTCTGTAAAATGGGGAAACAACGTATCTACCTCATAAGATTTTTATGATGAACGTATCGTGTAGCTACAGTATCCCAGGATTTTACTTGCATATGTAACATTTCCCTTTAGACGAGGGATATAGGATATATACTGATATATATATATATATTTCAATTTAATTTCTTTTTCAAAATTTTATTTAAATTTTAGTTAACATACAGTGCAACATGTGTCAGGAGTAGACACCACACTGATATTTTAAACCTAAGTGATGAAACCATTCCCTCTTTTTAATCTTTCCCATGGGATATATTTCCTCTTCGATACCCTAGTATATCTACCTTAGTATGGAACATACTATCTGATAATCCAAGCATCTGAATTAGGATTTACCCACCTGCTCCTTCCTCAAAAGCAAGATATATGTCTTAAATATGTCAAGTATTATTACAATGAAAGTATGTATAATACAACCACCACATCAGCCATCCATTTATTTCAAGAACTATCTAATAACATTCTGGTAGTACAGAAATAGTTGAGAATTTTTGGAGTTCATTTTAAGATGATAAAAATGTACAAAAATTTTCATAGATAATTAAGAATTTTATGAATATTCATAAATATTACTGAAATTTCTGACTTCTGAAAATGCTCAACAGCTGCCAGAAAGCAATTTAGACATTTAAATGTGGATTAAAAACAAATCTAAATTCCTATAGCAAGAGCCAGATCCGTTTCCTCTGGTTTCGTTAAATGCTGTATCTTAGTGAATTGTTAAATGAAACACGTTCATTTTCCTTTGTGTGTAAATGAGATTTAAAAATCACTGACTTTGGTTATAATTAAAAAAAAATTTTTAATGTTTATTTATTTTTGAGAAAGAGAGAGACAATACAAGCTAGGGAGGAGGAGAGAGAGAGAGAGGGAGATATAGGATCTGAAGTGGGCTCCAGGCTCTGAGTGGTCAGCACAGAGCCCGATGCAGGGCTTGAACTCACGAACAGTGAGATCATGACCTGAGCTGGAATCAGACACTCAACTGACTCAGCCACCCAGGTGCCCTGGCTATAATTTTTATATAATCTTAATAAATAGGCTTGTAAGATCATGTCAGTAGTTTTAGGAACCTCTTCAGAAGTTCTCAGTTTAACAAAGTAAAACAGTAAGTAAGCTTCAGCTAATAATAACAAGACTCCTTTCTTGTAGGGAATCCTACAGTTCTATTATTATTATTTTTTAAATTTTTATTTACTTAAGTAATCTGTACACCCAATGTGGGGCCCGAACTCATGACCCGCAGATCAAGAGTCGCATGCTGTTCTGACTGAGCCAGCCAGGCACCCCATCTACAGTTCTGTTCTTCATACAGAATATACACAACCCCTCCTCCAGGTATCTTTTTTCCCCTTCTTTGTTGCAGTATGAGGTCTAAACATAAGTGACTTAAAATTCCTGGTATCTTAAATATATTCTTCATAAGATTATCACAGATCTCTAGGAAAAAATTAAAGCAACCAGCACACTAAAAGAGTGATGCTTTGTTCATGTTTTGGCCATAGGTTTGCTTTACGAAATAGCATGCCCTTCAGAATGGAAGAATGTATCTGCCTCCTATTTGATGGGGTTCAGAGCTAAGATGGCTGACTAAATAAACATGGGGAACTGGAATTTCCTTGGAGGCATCCTGGAGGAAGTTCACATCCACTCCACCATAATTGGAAAGATCTGGCTCACTATCCTGTTCATATTTCGAATGCTTGTTCTGGGTGTAGCAGCTGAAGATGTCTGGAACGACGAGCAGTCTGGCTTCATCTGTAATACAGAACAACCCGGCTGCAGAAATGTATGCTATGACCAGGCCTTTCCCATCTCCCTCATTAGATACTGGATCTTGCAGGTGATATTTGTGTCTTCACCATCCCTGGTCTATATGGGCCATGCTTTGTACCGACTGAAAGTTCTGGAGAAAGAGAGGCAGAGGAAGAAAGCTCAGCTGAGAGGGGCACTGAAGGGGGTGGAGTGTGAAATGCCCTGGGACAGGAGGAGATTGGAGCAAGAACTTTGTCAGCTGGAACAAAGGAAACTAAGCAAAGCCCCACTCAGGGGGACCTTGCTTTGCACTTACGTGATACACATTTTCACTCGCTCTGTGGTAGAGGTTGGGTTCATGATTGGACAGTACCTTTTGTATGGATTTCATTTAGAGCCTTTATTTAAATGCCACAGCCACCCATGTCCAAATATAATTGATTGTTTTGTCTCAAGACCAACAGAAAAGACAATATTCCTGTTATTTATGCAGTCTATAGCCACTGTTTCACTTTTCTTAAATATTCTAGAAATTTTTCACCTAGGTTTTAAAAAGATTAAAAGAGGGCTTTGGGGACGATATAAACTGAAGGATGAGCACAATGAATTCTTTGTGAACAAGTCAAAACAAAATCTTGCCAAATATCAGAGCACATCTGCAAATTCACTGAAGAGACTCTCTCCTGCACCTGATTATTATTTGTTGATGGAAAAGCAAACACACACAGCAGTGTGCCCTAGTTTAAGTTCACCTGCATTTCAGGCAGATCCTGACCATCACAATGGAAATGATGAGAAATGCGTTTTGGATGGGCAAGAAACTGTACTTTCTAATGAGATGTGCACACTTAGTGCAACCTGTAGTCACCTTCAACACATCAGCTCATGTAATAATGAAGACAGTCGCAAAATATTTAGAAAAGAAGTGGGTAACCCGTTAAAGGGAAAGAAAGAAATCGATGGCAAAGACAGCAAAAGGAACCACTACTCTAGAGGTCAAGGTTCTATTCCAGGTGTTTCTATAGATCCAGACGACCATGTGAGACAGTCGCCTCAAACAGCTTTCTCTCTGCCAGCTAACTGTGCTTGGAAACGGAGGTGGCTTAGTGCTACATGGGGTCCCTCTACAGAAGGTGAAAATCGGACGTCACCTCCTAAAGGAAACCTCAAGGGCCAGTTCAGAGAGGGCACAAACAGAACCCTTCCTCCTTCCCAGGGAGACTGTCTGGACATTCCAGACACTCCTGATTCTTTGGGACGGTTGTCCTTAGAATCTGATTTGATCAGGAGCTGCAATAATTCTACTGCTTGCCCTCCAAATCATTTAGCGCTGCTGACAAACAACCTCATCGGTAGGCGGGCTCCCACAGACCTTCAGATCTGAACAGCTGTTGACTTCTAGACATCCTGCATATTATATGACCCTAGCGTGGTGGTGGTGGAGCAGGCAAAACAAATAAGGGCAGCTCTAAAGACGAGCTGTTTAGGCAGACAATTGCAAACCTACTTCAAAAAGGAAAAACACATTAATTCTAAATGGTGATGGGGCAGTTTTAAATTCAAGGAGGGCTACCGGATCAGGATTACTTTTTTCACAGGCTCCTTTCAGAATTCGTGAAAACTGATTCCGGGAACGTCACGTTAAGAATCCAGGCTTAATGGTTTGGAACTACGTTTTTCCTTGATGGGAGCAGAGCCTTAGGAGACTATACTGATTCTACATAAGTCTCCCTTTTAGTTACTAATCTTTTATTTCTGGACAATGGTTAAATTGTTTGTCCCTGGGACTTAATTTCGTTTCCTTATATAGACTGCAACCTGATGTCTCTTGAGTATAATCAAAATGTTGCTATCTAGTAAATAAAATTTTAAAAAGATTGGTGGCTTTAAAACATCGTGATTCAGTGTCCAGATTGGAGTTGTATCTCCACACTCCCTAGTCCTCTAACCTCGACACTTTACTAACTGTAGCTACCTTACAGGGATAGTGTGAGAATTAAAATAAGAAACGTTGTGTTTAGTACAGTACCAGGCACACAGAAAGAGCTCAAAAGGCCTATTATTAGCACGTTACTGCTCACCCTCCAGAGGCCCACATCAAGCCGGCCACAAAACAAACTGCAAAAGTAAAAGCTGGAGCCGAAACATACGATTCCAAGCGCTCTCCTCAAGCCACTGGAAACCCAAGGGGCGCCCTGCGTCGGTCGTGCGCACCTTTTCGGGACGAAAGCCAAGAAGCCAGCACGTATAGGCTACCACACCTAATAATGATGAGGCCCGGGTTGAGACTGGTCCGCTCCCACACCGCTGCCCGGAGATCCCACCCAGCTACAGTCCCAGCGCTCCCGGACTCCGCAGGCCGCGCCCCCGGGCGCCACGCCCATTCTTGGCCCCACCTGGACACCCTCCCCGAGTTACCAAACCCTCGCCTCTCACTAGGCAACCGAATTGCCGCGAGGACCGGAAGAGGAAGGAGAGGTGTTGAGCCGGGAGCGGAGAGGCGGGCGTACGCAGCCTCCCTCGGCTTAGCTCACTATGGGGCATCCAGAGCGTCCTGGTCGCCATGAAAACAGGCCACACCCCCGCGAGCTCACACAGTGGTTCGCAAGTGCGCAGGCGCGCGCGGCCTTCCGCGCATGAGCAGTGCTGCTCAGAGCCCGCCAGCCACGGTCTCGGGCGCCAGCTACGCCGCTGCCGCTGTCACTATGGCCCATTACAAAGTGAGGGGGGCGCGGCGTGGCTGGGGGCGTGCGGGCGGTAGCCAGCCGCTGGTCGGCTCCGGGTGGGAATGGGGGTGCGCGCGCAGGTTTTGGGGGCCTGCGGCAGCGAGGCGGAGGCGGGGTTGCCGGACTCCCAGCGCCTTCTTCCTGCTCTGGCCCCTGGGCTTCGGCTACTGACCCGCCGTGTCTCCTCAGGCCGCCGACTCGAAGCGGGAGCAGTTCCGGAGGTACTTGGAGAAGTCGGGGGTGCTGGACACGCTGACCAAGGGTGAGCATGGGCTAGGAGAGGGTTCCTCGTGTCCACGTCGTGCTCCTCGGCGCTGCGTCCCTGTCGGGCCAAGGCGTGGGAAAGGAGGGAGAACAGGTGGGACCTGTCTGGGGTCCAGCAAGGTGGGCCTCGGGGTCCAGTGGGGACTGGCGCAAGTCTGGCTGCTGGCTGTCGGACGCCGCTCGAGTGGGATAGCCTTGCTCACGCTACCACCCTCCGGGCGGGGAGTGAAACTCCTGCAGCTGTTGCAAAGTCCCTCCAACTTCCGTTGCTTTGCCTCGAGTGGCCGCAGCGAGTATGTTTGATAAAGACCTTGAGATCCTAACTCCTCCCTCCTTACAGTTTTTGCGGACCCCAAATTACGAAAAGAAGCATTTTCCTTCGAAAAAAGGGCAAGTGGGAAAATTAACCAGATTTCAAAGCTGTCTATGAAATAACTAAATGAACTCAGTCCCCATAGTAGGCGATTCATAGTAAATTTGGCTGTGGTTTTTCAACCCCGGTTTCGTAGGCTATACCAATTCCTACTTTGTGCAGATTTCATAAGTAGGATTACAGTTTAAAGAGCTTGAGGACACATAAAAATGGTTATATTGTTTTCACTTTTTAAAATAGAAGCTATTACACTGTATCTGTTTCTGGGAGGGGGGGGGGGTTCAAGACCTAAGATGAGTAAGGAGCTTGAAACTGGAGAGTTCCAAGAGGTGGTTGGGGGTACTACTTATTTCATTAGCTCAGCAATAATGTGAATGCCTGCTATGCATCATTCAACTCATTGGCTAGAACTTGCAAGGGTGTAGAACAGAAGAGCTGTCCGGGATAACGACGTGGGTCCACACAAGAGGTGTCTGGGAAAGAAAGAATTTGGTAACTGCTCTTTGGCCAGAAGCAAAGGTTAGGAGACAATTCTGGGAGAATAACAACTTTGGGTCTTAGCAGAAAGCAGGGCTTTTAATTCCCATGCATGGGCTGGTAATTTTGAATTGCTGCCTACGTTAGATTCAGGTACCAGTTTCCCCTATCTCGTTGCAATTACACTTCATCAAACATACAGGAGTACCTATGAAAGTGCTATGCTCTGTCCTCTCTTGAAGTGTCACAAATGCTTGAAATTTCATTGACCCCCCCCTTTAAAAAATTCTGTGGGTTCATTTCTTTCATTTATTTAACCATTTTATTCAAGTCTCTGTTCTAGACACTGGGGATACAGCAGTGGAAAAAAATGTCCCTGCTCTAAATGAGCTTATATTCTAGTTGGGGGAGACCTAATAAATAAATACATAGTGCCAGCCAGTGTCAAGTGTTATGAATAAGAAACATAGAAAAGGAGGGGCGCTTGGCTGGCTCAGTTGGTTGAGTATCCGACTCTTGATTATGGCTCAAGTTGTGATCCCAGGGTTGTGGGATCGAGCCCTGTGTTGGGCTCTATGCTGAGTGTGAAGCCTGCTTGATTCCCACCCCCCACTCCCCGGTTCCTGCCTGTATTCTCTCTCTAAACAAAACACCAAACCAACCAACCAACCAACCAACCAACCAACCAGCAAAGGGGATAAAGAGCTATGGATGTGCCATTTCATAAGAAGTGGTGGTTACTTCTCTCTCAAGAAGTAACATTTGAGTAGAGACCTGAATGAAATGTGATGTTAAGAGTTCCAGGAAGTTCAAGGAGGCCGGAGTGGCTAGACAGAGTAAAAGAATGTTAAAAGGTAGAGAAGTGACCTTGGCAGGAGGTAACTGAAGATGTACAGCCTTGTGCCATATGTGGATCTTCCTTCATGAGACTGGAAACCACTGAAGGCTTCTTTTCCCTTGCTCACATCCACTGGCATCTAACTCCTCAACCACTGCAGATTTCCAGTCTCCTAAATAATGCCAGACAACATAGTACCTACTGATGTGACGTATTTAAAATCTGATGTTTTTCAGCTTCAAACATATGTACTTTACACATATTTAATTTAGAATTTTTATCTGGCTTATTTCCAAGAGGATCTGAAATTGCTTCTAACATTAAAACACTATATGGCTAAAGATAAAGATAAGTCATTTGGAAAAAGAGGCATTTGAGTTATTTTGAGTACCATTTCAACCTCTAAAAATCCCGGCTGCTAAGGCAAAAAAGGGAAACGCGGGGTATGGCATGCTTCTTGTCTGATTAAAAGGAAGTACATTTCATCTATAGAAAAGCACAGGAAACTTGCTATTTACATTATGTTCTGTAATTATCAACCTTGTAGTACCACTGACCAATTTAGAAGCTGAAAGAAACGGGGTGGGGAACAAGAGGTAGAAAAGGTAAGAGTATTCATGTCTTAAAAGTTAGTTGGCAGAGATCAGTGGAAATCAGTGGAAGAAAAAAACAAGTTTGAGTATGTTATTTAAAGAAAAACACTTAGGGGCGCCTGGGTGGCGCAGTCGGTTAAGCGTCCAACTTCAGCCAGGTCACGATCTCGCGGTCCGTGAGTTCGAGCCCCGTATCGGGCTCTGGGCTGATGGCTCAGAGCCTGGTGCCTGTTTCCGATTCTGTGTCTCCCTCTCTCTCTGCCCCTCCCCCGTTCATGCTCTGTCTCTCTCTGTCCCCAAAATAAATAAACGTTGAAAAAAAAATTAAAAAAAAAAATAAAGAAAAACACTGAGAAACGGGAACCCTCTTGCACTGTTGGTGGGAATGCAAACTGGTACAGCCACTCTGGAAAACAGTGTGGAGTTTCCTCAAAAAATTAAAAATAGACCTACCCTATGACCCAGCAATAACACTGCTAGGAATTTACCCAAGGGATACAGGAGTACTGATGCATAGGGGCACTTGTACCCCAATGTTTATAGCAGCACTCTCAACAATAGCCAAATTATGGAAAGAGCCTAAATGTCCATCAACTGATGAATGGATAAAAAAATTGTGGTTTATATACATAATGGAGTACTACGTGGCAATGAGAAAGAATGAAATATGGCCCTTTGTAGCAACACGGATGGAACTGGAGAGTGTTATGCTAAGTGAAATAAGCCATACAGAGAAAGACAGATACCATATGGTTTCACTCTTATGTGGATCCTGAGAAACTTAACAGAAACCCATGGGGGAGGGGAAGGAAAAAAAAAAGAGGTTAGAGTGGGAGAGAGCCAAAGCATAAGAGACTCTTAAAAACTGAGAACAAACTGAGGGTTGATGGGGGTTGGGAGGGAGGGGAGGGTGGGTGATGGGTATTGAGGAGGGCACCTTTTGGGATGAGCACTGGGTGTTGTATGGAAACCAATTTGACAATAAACTTCATATATTGAAAAAAAAGAAAAAGTAAAGAGAAACACTGAAAGGAGGGGGGAGGAGAGGGTGGTGGTGATGTAGACATACCGACTTCTCAAAAAATAGTGTTGTAAGTACACTTAGAAGAGTAACTATCAGAACTCAGTGCTGGTTGTTAAGTCATTGCCATTTGATTTTTTCTGTCTATATTTTGATGAGTTATTAGAGCTAAAAAACTAAAAAGGAAGAGTGTTGTCTTACAACAGTTTCTTAACTTGGGGTCTAGAGATGCACATTTTTTTGTGTGTAGTTACGTTTTTTTGGCTTTTGTCACTTTTCAGAGGGTTCTTTGCACAAAAAAAAAAAAAACCTTAACCACTGGTTTAGAGAGATTTATATCTGAGTAGTAAATCCTAGGAGGAATTTATTCAGTAGAAGATGAACAAGTCAGTGCTGATGTAAGCTTTTGGATATGAACTGAAGTATGTATTTTAATGTTGATTTAAGCATGTTGATTACTGGTGAAGTTTTTGGTTGGTGGTTATTTAGCATGTTGTGTATGAAACTCTATCCTTGAAGCATATTTTCAATTCAAAGCTTCTTCCAGTAATTATCATAGCCCTGTTGATTCTCTCCAAAAGTTTTCTCAAATTTATCTTTGTTTTCACCCCTCCATCACTCTAGTGCAGGTTACTATCTTTTTCAGCTGAATTACCACATCTGCCTCTTAAACTGCTCCTCCTGCCTTTATCCTTGTCCCACCCTGGATCTTCCACACAGCAGTCAAGAGTGATCCTGTCACTCTCCTGCTTAAAACTGTTTAATTATATGCCTGTTGTTCTTAGGATCAAAGTCCAACTGAACTTGCAGGATCTTCCCTGGTCGGCCTCCTGACCACCTTGCCAGCTTCCTTTCCTGCCACATTGTTCACAGCTCCATCTAGCCGTACTTGAATTTTCAGTTCCTCAATATGTGTTCTCTTGCCCTCCCCACCCCCTCACCTTCCCATTTTATCTGAAACCCTCATAGCCCAGGTCTCAGGTCTTACTTCCCCTTGTTAGGATGCCTTCCTTGGTGCCCTAGGCTGAGTTAGGTGTTTTTCCAATGTGCTCCCATAATCCATCATCCTGTATTGACACTTGATGCTTCTTTTTTTTTTTTTTTTTTTTTTTTGGGTTAGTCCTTTGCTTATCTTCTGCACTAGAGTATAAATGAGAACAGGGAGGTTATCTGCTGTGTGTGCCATGGCATGGCAGTCCTATCAATGTGCTTGGCGTATAATAGGCACTTAATACTTACTGGGCTGTGGAATATAATTTCAGTCATTCAAATTTAAGACTTTAATGATTGCTTTTTCTGCTTTTTGATTTGCAGTATTGGTAGCCTTATATGAAGAACCAGAGAAACCTAATAGTGCTTTGGAGTATCCTTTTCATCTTTCAAGTCAGAAAAAGGACTTATTTTTGGAACTCTTATTTTTTCACATAGATACTATTTAAAATATTTTTGATGATTGAAAAAGTTACTTTCTGTTAAGTTTTGCGATGATGATCTCTGGGTAAATGCTGGTGGTAAGATGCGGTGACTGTGATCAGAGACATTGATACTACTCTGAGCTATTTCATTAGTTTCATTCAGCTCAAGTAAATTCTTAACTTTGATATTAGTTTTTTAAAGCATCACTTAGGAGCTGCTACCCCAGAAAATCCAGAAATAGAGCTGCTTCGCCTAGAATTGGCAGAAATGAAAGAGAAATATGAAGCTATTGTAGAAGAAAATAAAAAACTGAAAACAAAGGTAAATGTTTTAAAAGAATTCATGTTAAAAATAATTTCACCTTTAATGATTATAAGATCAGAACCTCACTAAAATGGATAGTAGGGGAGGGAGGAGGAGAAATAATCTCAATTAACTGCAAGGCTGTTTCCTTGCAGTTGTTTTTCCTTGTGTTTCCCTATCGAGAAAACCACAGACAGACTGTAAATAGGACAAGCAAAGTGTAGTCAAGAAGAGGTTCTTGGGAACCTGCATCAAGAAAAACTTGAGAACATTGGCTAATGCTGCTTATGAGTAAATGGAAATTTTGGGGAATCATAAGCAGTTGATGTAAGTAGGTCAGTGTAGGATCACTGCTTTGTGAAAGGCACCTCTTACAGTTGTGTAGTGTGCAGTGTGCACAGTCGTATTGTGGTGGCTCTGTAATGTGTTAATTTGTTTGCACTGAGTTTTGTCTATTGCTCAAGTTTTTTCTTTGTTTAAATTCCTGTGAGAATCTTCATAAGCTTCAAATTAGTCATCTCTGAGCCTTTGAGGTTTTACCACATTCTGAATCACATAACTTATTTTACATTAGGCAGTTCTCATGTGATTTATCTTCTCAACAACCTTGCGAAATAAGTGAGATAGGGACACAGACCATTTTGTAGGTGAGGGAACTAAAGCACAGCGAAGTCTCTCTTCTCGCATCTGACAGCTAATTCAAATAATCTCAATCTCAGCCTAGTGTTCTTGCAGAGAACCAGTTTAGCGTAATAGAAAATGCAGTACTTTAAATTATTCAAGATTCCACAACACAAATACCAGTTAACTTCTTGGTTAAGTTAGACCTTTTAAGTCAGACATGAGCTGCTTTTCATTGACTAGCTAGATTAATATATGTTACATTATTCTTTTTTTTTTTTGCTTTTTGAGAGAAAGCTCAGTAAAACTTTGGTAAAGACAAAGAAAGTACCTTATCAGAAGCCACAACATCCTTGGGAAGATACAGATAGGTTGTTGCCTATCAAGTATTTGAGCAGTGCGGTATGAACTGGAATTCAGTTTTGGGTTCCCAGTAATTTTAAAGGTTTATACGAAAAAGAGTTTTCCTCAGACCTGATTGCATTAAATCTTAAAGTGTATTAATTTTAAGTGGCTTAAAGAGAGTAGAATATTCTTATAAAGTTACTGATTCAATAATTAAGTTGAATATAATAGTTAACTTGTTTTGTTATTATGAAGTTTTTTACCCAATTTAGAATAAGATTCACCTAAACTCCTCTGTCTTTGCCCTATAGCTTGCTCAGTATGAACCACCTCAGGAGGAGAAGCGTGCTGAATAGGAATCTTCTCAATTGAAAAGACACTGACAAAATGGTTTTGTATGACTTGAATAGTTTGTATAGTATATAATCTTTTCTGAACAGATGCTATAGAACTCTTTTAATATGTTGAATTCACCTACCACACTTTAACTGTTATAAACACATATACTTAGAATCACCAATAAAAACTCAATATAACTTTCTTTGGGTCTTAAAAGCAGGAGAATCCAAAGTGAATCCTGAAAAAAAATCTAAACACAGCCATCTAATTCATTACCTTAAAAGACATTCTGTTTATTAGTCTGACTAGGAATGATGGTACTGGTGGTATTTTAGCCAAGGAAGTTCAGCATGGAGCTGTTCCTTGGTTTAGTTCAGGATATGAGCACAGGTACCTTCATTCTTTAAAATGAAGCCGACACTGTTGTTTATATCCTCTGTAGGCAGCTGGAAAGATGTGTGTGACAGAAGATGCTTTTGCACGGGTTCCCATGAATCTTCTGCTCTTGTTTATATAACGTGGAACAAATAACTCTTCTTTGCCACCACTCTGCCTTAGATAACTGTGTGTGTGCCAGTGTGAACTCTGACACCACGTGTCCTTCTATGCAATCATGCCCTACCTGATAACGTTGCCTTGCTTTGCTCTGTGCTTCAGTGGGTCCTAGCTGCACATTGGCCTGTGTTGTTTTTCGATTTGCCATACTAGCAGTTATCCTGACTGTAATTTATAATAACTTAAAGCAGGATCACACTGTTCCCCTGCCTTACTTGTTGCTTAGCTGAGCACAGAACAGAGGCAATCTAAAATTCTGGGTTCATGCACAAGCTGGGATAAGAAGGGGAATGAGCCATATATCGTGGAAAATTATAGTTTGCGGGTATAATTATACAGTGCTTTTTCCCCCTCAAAGTATTTTTCTAGCCTTGAATTCATTTTATCTTCATTATCCCTGTGAAGTAGGTAGGGCAAGTATGAGGGGAGGTTGGGTGCTGAATTTTTAGGCCAAAGACTGATATTAATACAAATTATTTACTAACTGTAGAACCTTGGGCACATCAGTCAACTGCTCTGAGATTCACTTTCCTCATATGTTAAATGAGAATAGTATCTGTGCTGCCTACCTCACAGGGTTGTTGTGAGGGTCAAATGGAATGTATGTGAAGATCTGTAAATGGTAAAGCACTATATTCTTGTTTGTTAGTCTTTTTCCTTTCTTTTAGAAGACCTACAATCAGGTGTTTCATTTTATTGGCCACTTATTTTCCTTATTGCTGACTGACATTATTAAGAATCCTGTTTCATATATTCTAACCCTATTGTTAGAGAACCCGTCTTTACGTTTTGGTCAAAACACACGTAGAAAACAAAGTGAACCGATGACAGCTGATTTAACTAGCAAAAGCGTCAGCACTTGCTGGAAACTGTGACCAGGCTAATTGTAAGGGCATTTTAATCAGTCATGTTGGCAAGAATGTGGCAATGGTCTGTCTCTTTTAGTCACAAGTTCGTTTCTGGAGGGGGGCCAGACACTACTGGAAGAACATTCACTGGAATTGGTTTATCTTTTACCAATTTGAGGGCCTCCTACATGCTCAGCAGTGGGCTGAGTGCTGGGTATTATAAAGATAAATGACTTGAAATTAGTTATAAGACATATACATAAGCAATTACAATGTGGGATAGGAAGTGCTGAGAATCATAAGAATAATAAAACATGGCCCCATGGGGATTTTGGAAGAGAGGGAGACTTGGCTTCTTTAAGCAACTGGTATGACAGCCCCTTTGTGGAATACAGACAAGCAGGATTTTTTTTTTTTTTTTTTTCTGGCAGCCAACCCTCATTTGCTTTTTTCCCATGGGACTAGTATTAATATTTATGTAACTCAGGTTACTGTCTCTTGTACTATCCTTTTGGACAGAATGGCAACCTGTGGGTTGGTTAACTGCACTTTTACGGAGGGCGGGGGGGAGCTGACCTGCTTCAAGTGCTGTACCAGTCAGTGCTATTTAAGAACTCAGAGTCAGCCTGGCCTCTGGAGATCTTCTTCATCATTTCTATCAAGGATCTGGATGAAGAGACTATACAAGAAGTTGCTCAGTGGAGTAGAAAAAGGATCTCATCCATTCAGTTCCTGCTGTACTTTAGCTGCCTTGTCCATACAATGTAGATTTCATATCTTGCCTACCTCACAGGGTTGTTGTAAGATTCAAATTAAATATAATGGATGAAAAGTGCCTTGTAAATTGTAAAAGACTACACATGGGTCGCATGGTGTAATACCAAATCTGTAAATGCCACAAAGTTGGCTGGTTAGTGGACTATATTGAAACAAACTTGAAAAGAACAACTTGGAGTACCCAAAATTCTGGGCCTGCACCAACAAGCTGAAGTGTCAAGTCTTATGTTTAGGTTAAAAAAAAAAAAATGCAGTAATACAAGTCTAGGCACTAGGATTGCTGACAAAATACTAGTTCCAGTGATTATCAGTATGAGCCACATATACTCTGGATACATATATTAAAAAAATCCATTCTGTAAAGCATAATAGAAGTATTGTCCAGATGCTAAACAGTCATCCTGACGGCTGTATTAGTCATTTTGCATTGTGGGTGCCAGACATTTGGTAGATGTTGACAAGCTCACATGCATGTAAAAGACAGTGAGCGATCAATAGAGGGCTTTTGAAAATATAAGGTTGTGCTGCCCAGTATGGGAGCCGCTAGCCATATCTGGCAATTAAAGTTAAAAAAAAAAAATTCAGTTCCTCACAGTAGCAACATTTCGAATTCTCAGGCCACACTGGCTTCTACATCGTTGCAGAACATTTCTATCCTCACAGAAAGTTCTATCGGACATCACCATAGAAGCGATGGTCGAAAGAACAGAGTACGTTTTTTGTGGGACAGAGAAGATTTAGTGGATAATGAAGACTGCAATCTAATATTTGAAGGGCTGTCATGAAAAAGATGAAGACTACTCCTGTGATCCATTTTAAGCTCCAAGGAGTGTGATTTTTGGTCTGAATAGGAGACTTTCAAACAAAATCCTACCTCAGTGGAAGCGGCTGCCTTTTGAGATAGTGAGCTCTCCTCCCTTGGAACTACTGAGGTGCATGTTGCATTATCAACAGCCACAGGTGTCATAGGGTGGATTCTCTTTAGGCGAGAGATTGGACTAGATGACTTCTAAGGATGTGTCTGTCCTACCTTCCACTTACAGATTCAGACGTAGCCAAGTCCCGGACTTACAAGAACATGCTTTCCTTTCACAATCTAGAAGTTCGTTTCTTTGGAAATTCAGTGCCACCACCACCACCTCCATTTTAAGAGGATCTTGGTTCGTCAAATTTCCAATTCTAACTCCTGACAAGGATGAAAAATCCTCTAGCTATCTCAAACGTATTTGGTGAAAGCATTGGCTTTAATTTGCTTTCATTATTCATTCCTTTGGTTTGTGAACTGAAGGTCATAGAAGATGCAATGTTCTATTGGGGGCGGGGGTAAATTACATGAAAAGTAGACTGACTAGGTGGGAAGGAGGGAAAATTGAGTCCTATTGAGTTTAAAGTGGTGGTGGTATCCACTGTCTGTTTTGCTGAAGGAGGATAAGCAGTTCTAGCTTGGCTGCATTTGCTCTCCTCTCAGGGTCCCGCTACCTGCTAGAAGGAACTGCATCACACCCAAGGCTCTGCCTTTGGTTGAGGCTTTACCCTCACTCAGACTGGCTCCTCCTCCCTACCTACCAGATCCATCCATCTAGACCTGCTGAGACACAACCTCCTTACAGACTTTCTCACCCTCCCAACTCCCGAACATTGTTATCTTCACCTTTGACCTTTCCATTTCATACCTCGTACCGAAGCTACTTACGCAGAGATCCGATCTCTATCAATCTTCGAGCAACTTGAGGGCGGGCAGGGTCCGAGTCGGTCTCAGTTTTGTGTCCCTTGTCCCCCCAGGGCATCGCGGGCATCAATAAATACTGGTCGGGCGAGTACCATTGTAGGAGCACAACTAGTTCTTTCCTCAAATGCCCAGAGAGCATCTCCCGTTGCGATGGCCTCCAGAGCTCCTAAGAAGGCAGGGGAGCGGCGAGGAGTACCGCGCGTGGCTGGCCAGGACCGGGGTGCTAGCTAGGGCGGAGGGCAGAGGGCTCGGCCGGCCGGGCCACCCTCCTCGTGACTCCTCCTCCCCCCTCCACGGCTCCAAGTCAGGTGATTCCGGGCACGTGACGGGCACCACCTACCCTGCTGCTCCCGAGTGGCAGCTCGGGCGGCCAATGAGGGGCTGGGTCTCGGCGCGGAGCCTATGAGAGCCGGGTTCCAGGGGGCGGGCCGCGCGGCGGTGGCGGCTGCCGGGGGCGGCGGCGGCGGCGGCGGACTGGGGAGGCGGCGGCCTGGCTTGGCCTGGCCTGGCCTGTCAGGGCGCGGGCGGCGGCGGCTCCAGCACCATGTCCCTGCAGTACGGGGCGGAGGAGACGCCCCTGGCCGGCAGTTACGGCGCGGCGGATTCGTTCCCGAAGGACTTCGGCTACGGCGTGGAGGAGGAGGAAGAGGAGGCGGCAGCCGCGGCCGGTGGGGTTGGGGCGGGGGCCGGCGGAGGCTGTGGCCCGGGGGGCACTGACAGCTCCAAGCCGAGGATTCTGCTCATGGGACTCCGGCGCAGCGGCAAGTCCTCCATCCAGAAGGTGAGTGGGGCCGCGCCGGGTCCCCCAGGCCTCTCTCCCCCTCCCGGGGGCTCGGGTGGCCGCCGGGCGGGGGTGGGGGGCCCCGAGGAGGGCGGCGGCCGGGCTGGCCGGTAGGGCTACCCCACCGCGCGTTTTCTTGTCTTCTGGGGAGCGGGGCCAGAGGCACGGCCCGCGGAGGACCCCGACCTGGGAGTCCACGCCCAAGTCAGCTGAGGCCGAGCGGGTCCCCGAAAGCGAGACTGGCTGGAGGGAGGCAGGTGCCGGTGCCACCACCCGGGACCTCCGCCCCCTGGGACCCAGCCCCTGAGTGCTTTTCCGAAACTGGGACGTACACTCCGGTCCCAACTTGGAGAACTTGTCCGACTCCCTCCCCTACCCGGTTTTTGTGTATTCCTCTCACTTCAGGTGGCCTGAGTTTGCAGGGCTTCCCAGGTGAGCCCCAGGGAGCAGCGTCTGGAAGAGCTGTGACTAAGTCACTGGCCATTTTAATGCTTGCTCTTCTTACTACTACGAAGGAGAATTTAACTTTCCTGGGGGCTCGGGGGCTGTTATTCCCCCAATTTTAGTGCTGGTGGCCAGGCGAGTGTAGTTACTCGTGAAGTCCTCCCGTATGTGTCCCAATACAAAAATCTTCTGAGACCTCGAGAGTATTTGCAGACCTAAGTCAGCCCATTTGCTTTCACTTCGGGTCTGCCAGGAACAGATGGAGGGCTAGACCCTTCTTAGTAAGGGGGAAATTGAGGCAAGATTGACCACCTCCCCTAGCCCCCCCCCCCCCCCCCCCAACACACAAGTGAGCTGGTATTAAAACGCCAGATACCCGGTCTGTTGCCCTTTCCAGTCTGTTGCAAAGGTCTGTCCACAATAAATCTGTGATATTTTGTAAACGTGATGGCTTTAAAAAGTAGCCTTCTTCCGAAATTACTGGATTACTGTGTTGTGTTTACTTCCCAATTTACTGGGTTGCTGGGTTTTATTTATCATCTCACTTATTGTAGCAAAATTTGAGTACATTTATGGTAGGGCTTTAGCAAACTGCATTTCATTCTTCTCAGTTGTTACTCATTGACTAGACCTTGGGAGTAACCACCTATTTTCCTTTTCTAGAAAGTGACAGGGACAAATTAGCTTTATGTTAGAATTGTATGGATTGTGATTATCCTGATTCTCAATCATTACCTTTACTATTTCTTCTTTCATGGGAGCTGTTTTTCCTTGTCACCTCCCCTCCCCCCATGTATCACTATTTCCCCCCATATGTCACTTTCTACTTGGTATAATTACTGTCTGTTTTATTTCTTCCACAAGACTGCAAACTCAGTGAAGACAGAGTCTAGTCAGTTAACGTTTCTAACGATTTCCCAGAGCCTGATATAGGCATCCCAGTAAGTTTTCAATGAACAAAAATTCTTAAACTTTAGCTGTTTTTGTAATCTTAAAGCAGATTTTGGCAGAATTAATAAGTTTAACAGAAAACAAAATTAACACGAGAGACATGGCTACAACTAGGATTGAATATGGCGCAGAGAAAATAGCAGAAAAGTTTAGCTCCAAAATAGGCCTGATGGAAAGTAATTTGGTGTCTTCTCATCTCTCAGAAGCCAAAGGGTAGTGAGTACTGATGGATACACCATTCACTTTTTTATCTCTTTAAACATTTTTGTTGTAGGATCACGTTTTTTACATGTGAATTCAGAGTGGAACTTTGACCTTGGAATACAAAGTTGAATAGTTATAAGATTATCTTCTTTCTTTTAACAGGTGGTGTTTCATAAAATGTCACCCAACGAGACCCTCTTTCTGGAAAGTACCAACAAGATCTATAAAGATGACATTTCCAATAGCTCCTTTGTGAATTTCCAGATCTGGGATTTTCCTGGGCAAATGGACTTTTTTGACCCAACTTTTGACTACGAGATGATCTTCAGGGGAACCGGAGCGTTGATATATGTCATTGATGCACAGGTAGTTAGGAATAATGATGTTTACTTCTTTTTTTTTTTGCTGTCAAAAGATGTAGAAACAAAGGAAAGTTGTTTATCTTCTTTTATCATGTGCTTCTTGCTGCTTATTTCTTTGCCTGTAGAAGTCTTTGCGGTACGAGAGATGTAGCCACAGAGGTGTGTTGGGAGCAGGCATGCCATTGTGCGAGTGCAGAATAAGAGATGACTAGGAGATAGTGGCTTATTTATTATCTTTGAGTTCCAGTTAATGAGCAGGTTTCCACTTTTATTTGCTAGTAGTGGATATTGCTGTACTTCATTAACTATTATAGTGATGTCACTTGCTGGAAAAATCTCCTCTTTGCCCTTAATATAAGGAGGACGAGGAGAACTGAGTAAATATTAAAGTGACTGGTTTCCTTGGCTGTCCAAATTGGGTTTAGCTCAACAAGCATTTATTGAGGGCCTAGCATGTGAAAGGCACTGAGAAGGATGGGACATGTCCCTGTCCTTAAGAAGCTTACTTTATATAAGCTTAAACATCAGTCGGGAATGCTTTCTGAGTGACAGGTTCTGTAATGGATGCTTCCACATACCTGGTCCAATTTAATTTATTCTTCACGGTACCATGAGGTAGGTATGGTAAGGCCAATTTTTATGAAGAAAACTCAGATCACAAGTTTAAGCAACCTGCTTAAAGTCACACATCTAATAAATGGCAGAGCTGGGATTACTTTTAAAAAATTCTCTTGGGAAGACATGTCCATTTCCTTATATTACCAATATTTAAAAATTGCAGGCTTTAACTTGGTAATTACATTTTTTATCTGGAGAGATTAAAGATTTAGAGAGATTAAAGTATGTTACTGTATTTGAATGTTTTGAGTATTTGTGAATAATTAGGTTAATACATTTTCTATGGTTGGGGAAAGAGGTGGTTTGAGGCTTTCTTAACTCGTTACTGACTTTTACAAGATTTCTTTTTAAAAAAATATTTTGTTCTGACTTACAGGATGACTACATGGAGGCTTTAACAAGACTTCACATTACTGTTTCTAAAGCCTACAAAGTTAACCCAGACATGAATTTTGAGGTTTTTATTCACAAAGTTGATGGTCTGTCTGATGATCACAAAATAGAAACACAGAGGGACATTCATCAAAGGGCCAATGATGACCTTGCAGATGCTGGGCTAGAAAAACTCCACCTTAGGTAACAACATGTGTGTTTGATATGAGAGCCCTGAAAAATGTGTAAATGTATTCCCATCTCTGTCATTACAAACACGTAGTTTTCTGTTACTGGTATATCCTTCCCAAAGCTGTAATGTTCTTGATCTCTTCTATGTCGAATTTAGTTTTGGGAGCCTGATGTTATTGAGAAGTTACTTTCCCGGTTTTTTGCATTTTCCTGGAGATTGAAGTCATGTTAAGTGTTTTCGTTGGCGCTTGTAGAAATTCATCTCAAGGGACTGGGATCAGCCTGTTTCCTCATGGCATAAATCTGCTTTGGGACTTCCCTGTCTTAGTTTCATCTTTTTTTTTTTTTTTTCTTTCTTTTTGCCTTCACTCAAAGACTCTCTGTCACATTTGTTGTAGAACTCTGTAGCTTGATTCTTCACAGTGTGTGTATATATATATGTGTATATATATATATATATATATATATATATATTTTTTTTTTTTTTCCCCCAGTAGGAAGGGTCTTTTAAAGAGGATATGGTTTCAAATCTGGACTCTAATGTATCTTTTGTATGTTTTTAAAACCAGTTTATGCTTTTATGAATCTCTAAAGCTTGGGTTAGGTGAGTTTAGTCTATAAATCTGTTTAGGGCTCCTGTTAAGTTTAAAGAACTGATTCATAGTTAAATGTAATTAAAAATTATTACTTAAAAAAACACCTACTAGATAGGATTGATGGTTTATGTGCTTGTCTTCTGAAAGTATATGAGGAATATTCTATATTTTGTAATTTTTTGGTGGCATAGGTAGATACGAGTGATCAAAAGTACCCAAGAAAATGTTCTCTTGATGATGTAAAAGCTTAAAGAGGAAGCGGGGAGACACACGTGTAGCTATTTCCTTATCCCTGGTCTGTTACAGTGACTTCCTTATAGGCTCAAGCCAGTCCCCATCCCTATCCCTAATATTCCCTAGGGTCTCAGGCTCCAAGGTCTTTCAGTTATTTTTCTAGGAGGTCCTGTAGAAAAAAACCTCATTGGTCTATACTTTGCCTGGATTAAAATTTTAAAATATTTATTAGTAAGTCACACTTAAAAAAATATTCAACATTTGTAAGAGAAAATGAAAATGCATCCCTATTAAATTCCTCAGTCTTACTTGTTGGGAATCTACTATTAACAGTGGATTTTAGGCCGTGATTGTCCTGTGTTCCCTAGTGCCCATGGGAATTCTAATCGTTACACTACTTCTGTGTCCCTTTCTGGGGCAGCCCACCCCAGTGGTACCTGCCATCCCTTTCTCTAGTTCCTTATAGGGCCTTAGGCCTTGTTAACCTCTGTAGAATTTTGCATCTAGCTTTTGTTAATTACTAGCATACCTGCAGATTA